AAACCCCAGGGTTGGTGGCCCTGCTCCACCATGCAGGGGAAAGCCTGGGGTTGTCCCTTCAGCTCCCAAAACCAAGGCAGCCCTTTCAGCCCGGGGAGCTGCTGCCCTCCCCCTGCAGCCCCTCAGGGTGGTTTTTGGACGTCTCCTCCCTCCCTCCCCCCCCTTAATCCCCTGGGAAACAACTCATTGAGCACAGCCAGCAAAGCGGGAAGCAGTGGAGGTGGCCCCAGGGGAGAGCATTGGCCCACGAAGGCAGTGAGGAAACCACCTCTGTGCTGGGCACCCGGGTGGGCACTGTGCCCCCTCCCACCACTCCCTAAAACACCTGGAGATGGAGGGGGGCATGGAGAAGGCAGCTAGTGCCACATCGCAGCGTGGACCAAAGCGATCCTGACACTTGAGCAAAGGAAACGGAGCTCGATCGAAGCCAAGTGGTGGTTCTTTTTTTTTTCCCTTCTTTTTAATCCTTCCTTAAGTGCGAACACCATCTGGCTCCCCCAACATCGTCAGCGCTTCCAGTCCCCAGGCAGCTTCGCTCTTCCTAATTACTGTCATTAGGCAGTGGGTAGCGATTAGGGAGGGATGCTGATGAGCTGCATCAGGAAGGCTGTGGTGCCCCACCAGCCTCGTGCAGGGGACCGGGCGACGGCTTCTCCCCAGCCTGGGGCCTTTTCCAGCTGGGAAGCTTGGTGGGCAGCCAGGTAATGTCTTTTCTGTAGAGGTTGGCAGGGGAGGGAGATGCAGGCTGACAGGTTCGAGTTCTGGGGAGTTCTGGGGAGGTCTGCTGGGGATGGGCTGCTCCAGGGAGTGGGGTGATGGTCCTCAGTGCTGCTGAGGTTCAGGGAAGGAGCCATAGCCCACTGCATCCCACTCTGCCTCTAATTGTCCTGCCACTCCAGGTCTGTCCTACCCGCAGGTGTCCAGGCACACCAATGACCATTTCTCCTGAGCAGCTCAGACGCAGTGTTGACGGGCTCCGTGGCTGGACTCTCAAGCAGCCACTTCTCCTGGGCAGCCCTGAGGCCACAGTGACGGGCTGCATGGCTGGATGGAGTCAGGCCCAGCTGTCACCCTTCTGTCTGGCCAAAACAGGGCTGACCAGCAGCAGCCTCCCTTTGCTGCATTTGGGCATTCCTCTTCCCATGCAGCTCCCGTGCAGCACTGCAGCCATGCAGGCTGGCATGCGGTGTCAGTGCCACCTCGTGGCTGGCATCTCGGGCTTGCCGGCCTCTCATCATCACCCACAGCCTCCTGCGAGTGTCCCCTGGGGACTGCCCGGCCACCAATGTGTCCCACTGCCATGGCTGGCACTGGGAAGTGGGTGGTGGGGAAGGCTCCTGTGGGATGGAACAAGGTCTATGCCTCACGAGTGGGTGATGGGGTGGCTACACAGCTCTGGACTTCTTGCAGCAAGTGGGGTGGGATGAGAGGCTGCGCCCAGAGATGAGTTGTCCTTCTTGGAGATTGGCCATCAGAGTATTGCTTGGTACATGTGATAAAGTGGTGGTACTCTGCCTGCCCTGCCCTCTGTCAAGGTCCAGTATCCACAGAAAGCCCATGAAGGAATAAGCTGGATTTGGGGGGTCCTTTGGGCTAGAGTAGCTGGACCCCTGGGGTGAGCTATCAGAAAACTAAACTGGTGTGTGGATCAGCAATGGGAGAAGAGAGGAGAAAGTGAGGGAGAAGGGTCCAAACAAGGAGGCTGGCGGAGGAAAGACAAGCACTTTGAAGGCTGAGGAGCCTGTAGGATTGAGGAGGGTTTGTCAGATATGACTGCTGACTGCAGGACAAGACCGTCAGCCAGGGTACCCCCTGTGCCACCCTGCTCTGTTGGCCAGTGATAAAAACCACCCCCCAACCCTAGGGACACCAAGTCTGTCATCCTTTCTCACTGGCACCACTGGTGGGACTTGAAGGAGCTCAAACACCTCCATGACCTCCTTCATAGCTGGTTCAGTGGGGTTGAAATGGCTAGGGAAATGCCTGAGAAGGTTTTGCAACAAGGAGGGTTTTAGTCCCAGGTCCTTCCTCTTGCCCCGGGGTTTCCTCAGACTTTCCCCTCGGTCTCTCCAAAACCCCACACCCCTGTGACCAGCTGAAGCCTGGTCTCACCAGCCTTTCTTGGAAGTTGTGCAGTCAGTGGGGCAGACACTGGGCTGGGGAGGAAGTACAGCTCCTGCCTCGCAGGGGGAAGTGAGAAACTGCTGTGGAAAGTCAAAGAGGGGCAACACCCCCCAGAAAAACCACTTGCCCTGCTCCCCATCCTGTCAGTCACCTCTTGAGCAGGCCGTGGGAGCTCTGGATGTGGCCAGGCTCAGCTGGTCCCAAGGCAAGCAGGCAGCTGTGGTACAGGGGCCATGTCTGGTGAAGCCAGAGCAGAGGGAGCCTCTCAAACTCAAGGTCCTGCTGTATCCCCAGGACCACCGTGGTGAAGACCCCTGAACCTGGGGGAATGGGAACCCCATTCAGACCCCTGAGCCTCCATTGGCAACAGGTTTGATTTATTGGTTCATTTTTACAACTGTATTTTTTGTCTCTCTCTGCTCTCTGTGCAGAGAAGATGGACAACGGAGAAACACGCACAACGGGGTTTCAAACCTGTCCCAGGCCAGGCAGGAGTGGGGCACTGCCCCAGCGTGGCAGTCAGGCAGGCAGCATGTGGGGAAGAGACCCTGCATGCCATAATAGAGAGGGGATCTGAGGGGCACTCACGGGCTGAGGAATCCAATGTGGATCAAAATGCCACTTTTGAGAACTGCGGGTGCCAGCGGTGTCCTGTGGAGGAGACGCCTGGCTGAAGCTCTAGCAGAAATGAGAGCAAAAGCCCTTACCTGAGCTGAAAGAGGGGCTTTTTCAACAGGACTAATTAGGCAGTTTCTTCTCAAATTGCCATGCCAGTCAGGGAGAGCAGCGTATTTGCACGGCTGAGCTGCAGCGATCTCTTGAGTGGGAAGAGGGAGAAGAGCCCAACAATCCTTCTTCCTTTCCATCTCACCTCCATCTCCCAATAAGCAGGTTACTCTGCCTCCCATGAGCACCAAAATGTCCTGCCTTCAGCTCATTTGTCCACTCCAGATGCACAAAGGATGCTTCAAGTCACTTCACAGGGCCAAGTGCAGAGCATGAGGATGAGAAGAAGCTGGGTTCAAGCCCCAGGGATGCCCCTCCTGATATGGGCAGCATGGCTGCTGAAGATAACTGTGTTGGAGCCTCCACAGATCCTGCCAGTGAGTTACAGATGCCCAGAGGCCCAGGGGACAGTTTCTGGGTACATGGACCAACCCCTCCACCATCCTCATCTCTGAGACTGAGACAGGAACCCATCCTATTCTGGGTCAGACAGAGCCTTAAGCAGATGAAGGCCCACCTCTGCCAGGGTGTTTAGGTCTGGAGTAGGAGTTGTGGTGATGAATTTGGGCTTTGGCACCTGCAGCAGCTCCTGTGATTCCGCTTATGGGACAGATGCCGAAAGCTTGGCTCCAGATCCATGTCAGGGGTGAAGAGGGAGAGCCACCCTTTAACAGCAGCATCTGGTCCTGCAGCTGCAGAGAGCACTCAGGCTTGGGCAGGGGGCCACGGCCCTGTCATCAGAGCAACGAGTTGGGGACTCTGCCACAAGCTGTGGCCCTCAATGGCCACCACTGCTCGGTCCCCGAGGCCTCCTGGGCAAGGAGGCCACCTTGCCAAAGAAAAAGCTCACCCAGGCTGCCACCAAGATGGGACTTCATGCAAATAACCACCCACCCTGGGCACTTCTAATTGCCTAACTGCCCCCTCTGGCACCAGCAATGTTTCTCATCCAAGACATTGGGCAGGTTCTCTTCAGCCAGGGGGATCACCTGTTGTAATTATTTGGGAACAGCAATCCTGCACTAACGAGTCGGTTTCCAAAGCAGAGCCCTTCCTGCTCAGTAAAGCCATTTGTGGGCGGGTGAACAAGACCATCTCCAGTGAGATGCCTTGGACGGGCACTGCTGTCCAGCTCTGGTGCACAGGCAAAGCCTTGAAGACACTCACATAAATTAAGTCATCCCGCCTACGCTCGCATCACTCCCTGCCTGGTTCTGTGCGGCGTGGAAACATCCATCACCAGGAGCCCTGTCATCCCAAGTGACAAGCAGTGTTTCTGCAGCTACTGTGAGCTGAAGTGATGGTTGTCTGGGGCTGTAATAACAAGCTCATGGAGCTCCTCTAGACCAGCAGTCTCTGTTGTCTGCCCCTGGTCCTCCCTGACTCCAGTAATGGTAGGTCAGAGCAGACATATTATTTTTCCCTCTTCCCTCCCTTTCTCCCTGCTTGAGAAGACAGACTCATTTGCCATCCCCAGGGTACCTGGTGGAAGAAGGGGCTCCCATGAGTGTCTGTGGAGACCTGCCACCATGTGAGTGCCCAGAGGGAGGAGAGACCTGGATATTATGGAATGCAGAAGACGGGGGAGGAAAGAGGGTGAATGGAGCAGATGCCGGATGCGCCTGGCTCTGTATGGCCCCAAGCCTCCTTTTATTGAGGTCAGTAACAAAAACTGAGCTAATGGCTGCAATGTGGGACTTGATCATAATGTCACCTCCTGCTTCCCTCTCCACCTTCCTTTTCCCCTCCTCCTTCTGCTATTCCAAACCCATGTCCCCAGGAATCGCCTGTCCAGCAGCAAACCCAGCCCAGCCTGATGACAGCCTTGCAAACATCATGCCACCAGCTCCATCCTCACCAGCTGCAATTCCTCTGCTTCCTCTGGACAGCACAACTGCAGCAGCTGTCGGCTACTCGTTGTAACTTGGCATGATCTGCTTTGGCTTCCTCCAGCGCTTGCAGGCATAACTTTGGGCTCGATGAAAACAGGAAAGTGGAAAAGGGCAGTCATCCTAGAAGGCTGATCTTTCTCTAGGCAAAACCCAGTCCTCAGCCAGCTCACGTCCATGCAAGACTTTGATGGTCCCAGCGATGGGCTCTGGGCATCCACAGGGAGAAGCTAGAGTGCTCCAGCCCTGTTCCCCTCACCCTCAGGCTCTCTCCTCGATGGCACAGTTCTGGGTGGTTTTGGTGGTGACCAGGGCCGTGGCCCCCAGCTCAGTGGCAGGCAGTGGGAAGCAGTGGCTGCACTCCTCATGCCGGGGGTATGCAGTGGTGAGCAGGACAATGTCACCGTCAGCATCACCCTGACAGCACGGCCTCCGCTTTGCTCCAGCTTTCCTGGGCTGCCCTGGTGTCTTCTGGCCTCCGTTGATGTTTGGGCATGGGGCTGAGGCCAAGGCAGCATCTCCCTCCAGTGCAGCAGGGTCCTTGCAACCCAGGCAGGGCAGGGGAAGAGCAGCATCCACATTTGCTAGGAAAGGGCAAGAAAGTGGGGTTACAGGGCTCACAAGGTGGGACCAAAGTGGTCCTGTCCCTGGATACACAGAGAGTAGAGGGGAGTGGGGCAAGGGGAGCCTGCAAGATGGATCCCACACCTCGTCTGCTGCCGAGCTCCTCCTGCTTACTGCTGATGGACTGTTCCCCCCCCCAAAAAAAACCAACAACCCAACAACAACAAATAGGAAAAAGCAGAAACTCACACTTGCACTTGGAGCCTCTCGCTCAACCCTGCCGGCAGCAGAGCAGCCCGGCCCTCAGTGGCCTGCCCTCCCTGGCCACCTCCCACTTAAAAATAGACTTGTTTACACGCTTCGAACACGGGCGCCAGCCCCAGGCCTCCCGTGACTCCCCGTGCACCCAGTGCTGCAGCGGGGGGTTTGGGGGGACCAGGGGGAGGGTGTGAGGCAGGGGAGTATCCAAGGGGTGCCTTTTGACACTGTCCATCGCAGACAGACCTATTGTGCTGCTGGATTTCTCCTTCCTCTTTCCTTTTTGGTGCTTTTCCCAAGTGTGTGTCACAGGCTGTCACAGGGGCACTGGGTTGAGTGGAAAAGCCCCAGGTAATGTCCCCCTGGTCTGAGTCACCTGGCTGGCATCATCAGCAGTGTGTGGGCAAGCCAGGGCACAAGGACCGGCTGCCCCTGGCCCCGCTGGCCCCTGAGGGTGCCCACCCAGGTGGTGGGGCAGTGGCAGGTGGCAGCAAACCCTGGGGTGGCACCTAAGGCGGGGACCCAGGGAGCCATCCCCCCTGCCTGGGCATGAGGAGGGGTGAAGCCAGGTGAGACCGCTTCTGAGAAGAGTGGCCAGGGTTGAGTCAGTGCAGGGGTGGGGGTCCCTAGCGGATGAAACAGCCGCCCGGTCCTTGGCTGATGCCCCAACAAGATAGGCCATCATTTCCCTCTGGAAATACCCTGCTAGGAAAGACTCAGCCCTGTCCCTTGGTCCCCCAGCCCCATTTTTTATGCCTTTGGGGACAATCCCATGTGGTGGTACAGCATCCCTTGAATAGGGCTACCCCAACACCATCAGTGTCTTTGGGGTTCATGTTGGAGGGTGCCGGGCATCCCAAACAGCAATGCTGGGCTGTGCAGACAACACAGGAATGCCATTTGCAATGCCATAGGGTGAGGCTTCCTCTGGAGCCATCCCCAGATGTCCACCGCTGTCCCCACAGCCCTGGCTCTATCCATGGCCCCTGGCTACAGACAGAGACAGGCAGGCAACTTACTGGTGCTCTGTACGTGTCCCCCATGGAGAGGGGACAATGCCAGCAGATGCTTTAAGCAAGAGAAGGTATGTGGAGACCTGGCAAAGGGAGGGATGGTTCTGTGGGGTCACGCTGGGAGCCAGGTGCAGGTGTGGGTTCCTAGGGGACACAGGACACTGTCACTCAGCTGCCCCAAAATGCTCTGGGGCACCTGTGGAACCCATGTTGAGGTGGAGAAGCTAGTCCCACCAAGGACATGCCTTAGGGGAGCTGCTGGCAAGAGATCCCATCTGGCCTGGGAGCCTTGGGATGCTGTGACAAGGAGAGCAAGAGGTCCCCTACCTTCGGCCTCCTCATCCGCCGCCTTCCTCTTCCTCCGCTGCCTGCCCACCTTGCAGGCCAGGAAGCCCCAAAGGACAGCTACAGCCAGGATGACACCCACCACTGCGGGGATCCCGAAGATCAGGACGGTGCTGGGCAGGTCCACTGAGGGGGGTGTTGGTGCCAGGGTGGAGGTGGGCACCGTGCTGGAGGGCTCTGCTGTGGGGTGAAATGCCGGCAGTGTCAGCAGAGCTGTGGCAGGGGAAGGAGGGCAGCAGGATCACCCATATGGCCTGCCGGGCAGCCTCATGGTGGTGGTGGCAGGGAAGGATCTTCACTGTTTCCCCACCACCGCAACAAACTGTCCCCCTGCCTGGCAGAGCCCTCATCTCACTCGCTGCCACTCCTGGCCTGTGGGAGATGAGGGTGTCCTGCTCTTCCCATGGTCACGGGCAGGCTGTGATCCAGCCCGTGCTGACTGGATCCGCCTGGACTCGATGGACTTGATGATCTTAAAGGTCTTTTCCAACCCAAGTGATTCCATGATATATGGTATACATACACATACTTAACACCTGGGAAGTGTGGGAAAACTTTGCAACCACAGCTTGGAAATGGGTTAAGTGTCAGTAAATTAGTTCTCTAAGATGTCACATTACACTCCCCGCACTGTGTTCCCCTCACCGTAACAGGCTGCCCTCTTCCTCTCTCCTCCTCCTCCAGCTGAAGGCTGCACTCCATGTTCTATCGCCACTTCCACCGCCATCTGCAGAAGAAGGTCCTCTCCACCTACCCTCTCCTGGGCTGCCCCCAGTTCCCTTGGCCCACCATCACCCACCCCCAGGGTGCCCAGCCCCTGGCCGCCCTCACCCCTCTTACTTGTGCTTTTCTTGAACAATTCGGAGCACTTGACGCAGGACTTGGTCAGCAGGTCAAAGCACTGGGGGGAGAGGCAGGAGGCAGGAGCAGCAGCTAACCCAAGTGATTCCCTGATATATGGTATACATACACATACTTAACACCTGGGAAGTGTGGGAAAACTTTGCAACCACAGCTTGGAAATGGGTTAAGTGTCAGTAAATTAGTTCTCTAAGATGTCACATTACACTCCCCGCACTGTGTTCCCCTCACGGTAACAGGCTGCCCTCTTCCTCTCTCCTCCTCCTCCAGCTGAAGGCTGCACTCCATGTTCTATCGCCACTTCCACCGCCATCTGCAGAAGAAGGTCCTCTCCACCTACCCTCTCCTGGGCTGCCCCCAGTTCCCTTGGCCCACCATCACCCACCCCCAGGGTGCCCAGCCCCTGGCCGCCCTCACCCCTCTTACTTGTGCTTTTCTTGAACAATTCGGAGCACTTGACGCAGGACTTGGTCAGCAGGTCAAAGCACTGGGGGGAGAGGCAGGAGGCAGGAGCAGCAGCTTTTCCTGAGGAGGACATGGCAGGGTGGGACGGAGAGCCCAGCTCCTGCGTGTCGGGTGTGAAATGGCAGCGCGCAGGGCCCTGGCAGAGGGAGATACAGTCTGTCAGGCTGCGTCGTGTCCCTCGGGGTTCACAATCGCTGCATTTGCCCTGGGGCGGATCTTCACCAGGGCTGGGGGGGAGGGAGGAGAGCGAGCGCCCAAGCCCTGCCCCTGCCTGCTCGTGCAACGCGCCCTCAAACTGCCCCTCTCCTCCAAAACACGCTTCCGAAATCCCCATGGAGGCACCATCCCTGGATGTGTTTGGGGAAAGGCTGGATGTGGCGCTTAGTGCCGTGATCTAGTCGGTGTGGTGGTGTTAGGTCATAGGCTGGAGTTGGTGATCTTAAAAGTCTTTTCCAGCCTTGGTGATTTGGTGATTCTGTGAACTCCTTGGTGCTCACCCTTCTCCAGCCCACCCAGACATCACCCCCAGCCTGGGCATGTCCCCCAGCCCAGATTCTCCCTTGCCAGCCAGGAAAAGGCCCCCTTGGCATCCTCCAGTGCCTACAGGAGGCTTTCCTGTGCCCAGATCTTTATAAGATCCTATCCCAGGGCTGCAGATCTGGCATGGATGAAAAATGCAGGAAAGGATGGGGGGGAGAGGGGAGGGTGAAGGAGTACAGGGCCACTCCCTTTTAGAAGCTCCCACCGCCCCCAGGATGTGGCCTGTTAGTGACTGCTGCACAGGGAAGCCAAGCAGTGTGTGTTCTCTGTCCCTGCTAACTATGGTGCCCTCCATCACTGTGCTCTCTCCATCCTTTCCATCCCAGTCCTAAACCCATGGCAAGAACCCACCCAACCCCTTCACTCCATGTCTCATTCTCCAAAGTTCAGATCTGGCTCTGCTCAGTAATTGCGCAGGGCATGGGCAAAGCAGGTCACAGCAACCAAGTCTGATCCCTATACCCTTGGAAGGGACAAAATAAACCCTTAATGGTCTTAAGTGTTCCTGATCGTGAGCAGGAGAAATGTCCTGCCACTGGTACCCACACATCAAAGCCTGGTGCTTGAGATCTGAAGTGGCTAAGTCATGGACTTCAGTGCTATAGGTGGCTCTTTTCTGTCATTACCAAACAAAAGTCATGCTCCCTTTTTCTTCACCCTGTAGCAAAGAAAGGGACCAGCCACGGTTTCTGGCTCACTCTCAGCTGCAGGAAGCAGTGCAGGACACCTGCCCTGGCCAGGTGAGCCCTAATGCAGCTTTATTGCTGGAGTCCCATCCTTGCAGCAGCTAAGACCTCTGTGTTCTTTCTAGGGAGGTCTCTGCCACTCATTGTCCTGGCATGACACTGGGAGGAAAGGAGGAGAAAAGCCAAATGACTTTCTGACTCAAGGTGACCGAGTACTCAATATCCCCACTGGGCAACCAAGCTCCTCTGAGACAGGCCAGAGGACTTGGTCCATGGATGTACCTGCCCCACTCCAATGGCTTTGGGACAAGCTAAGCCAACAGCCTGAAGGCCTGGGTGGGATGCAGACACTCCTGCACTGGGTTGCAGCCGAAACATGGCTCTCCAGCACTCCAAGTCCCACAGGGCAGGAGCTGCCCTATGTCAGGGCCCTCCCAGCTGGCAGCATCCCCAGAGAGCGGCTTGCACCAGGGCAGCACTGAAGCAGCCCCAGCACCATCTCAGCCCTCCCTGCTGGGCACTGTGGGCTCTGGGCAAGTGAAAGTCCCAACCAAAACCAGTCGCTGCCCGCTGGTTCCACGCCTGTTGTGATTTCACTTCCCTTTCCAGCTGGTGTGCCCAGCCGCTTGCCCCTCGCCCCTCGCACACGTGCCTGCTTGCCAAGGAGCACCTTGCCTGGCTGTGCTGTGCTGTGCCAGGGCGCTGTGAGCTTCTCCAAGGAGCTGCCAGAGCCCGATCACCATTCCTGCACCTGTGAATCAGTTATTCCCCCTCTCTCTTAGTCAAAGTACAACTCCTCAAGTGAGCAGGGGCGTGCTGATGACTTCCCTCTCTCAGCGCGGCCCCAAGCTCCGAAGCCACAAGTGGCACAGCAAGATCGGCACCCTCTGCCTGGATTCTTGCACTTGCCCCCGTGCAGGTGCCTGCCAGGGGAGGACACCTCTCCAAATCCCACCTCACCCAGCCTCTCATGCGCCCCAGGTGAGGAGGGGGTCTGTGTGCAAGCATGGGAGCAGGAAGGGTATGCGTCCTGTGGTGGGGGGCACCAGGAGCACCTCGCAGGGGGGTCAGGAAGCCACAGCAGGGAGGGCTGAGGAATCAGGAGAAAAGCTCAGGCCACATCTAAGCTCCACAGCAGAGAGCCTCTGGGAGGAGAGGGCACCTGGAGCACTCGCTGTCCCTGGCAGGCAGCACACAGAAGCGTAAGGGAAGGGAATGTGGGGCAACAAACATGTTACCTTGTGGGTTAGTGGCACTGCAGCTGTGCAGGGAGGCACAGGATCCTCACAAAACAGCCAGTGCTCTGTTAGGACACCTGCCTCTGAAACAGCTCCCTCCTCCAAAGGCTTTGCTGTTCCTTTTGCCCTGGGGTGTTCCCACCTGCTGATCTCCTTTTCCCAAAGGAGATCCATCATCCCCCTCTTGGCCTCCCCCCTGAAATCCCCCTACTGTACTTTTCCCACATCAGTTGTCTCTTGGTGACCCCCAGCCCCTATTCCTGTGGGTCCTGCTGCACCACTATCACCCTGCCTCTCTCCCTTCCCTCTCTGTTTGGCTTCATTCAGGGAAGGGAAAATGGGTCTGGCATCTGCTGTAGCACACTTACAGGTTATCTCTGTGACCCTTCCAGCCAAATATATGCACCATGGAAAGCCCAAACCGAGGTACCTACAAGCTGATTTTGACGCAGAGGGTGAGGGTTTACAGAGGGTTTAAAATAGAGGTCAGGAGCTGATTGCTTCTATTTCTGTACCTGGTGTGAAAACCTGAAGCTGCCAATACATGTCGGAGAGCGTGGGGACACCAGCTATGATGTCCTGAAAATACAGGGCTCCCAGGTCCTGTTATGTGGAAGGATGTTGCAGGCTCATTGCTTACCCTATTCCCTCCCTTTTTTCAAGTCTTCTCTATCTCCCTCTACAGATCTCCCATGCTCCTTTTCCAGCCCGTCTGCTTCCTCCTGAGCCAAGAAAACAATGTTTGGAATCATACACCGTAACACTTACTCATGGAGAAAATCACCCCTGACTTCCCCAGCGGCATTTGCACGTGTGCCTGCTCACCAGTGTGGCCCAGGCTGCCCGGCTGGCTCCAGGCATCGGGCCGTCCTCCTCTTCATCTCCTTCATCTTTACCTCCCCTGCCTTTCCTAATGGCTGTTGATTGGATTTGGAGCAGCAGAAGTTAAAGCCTGGTGAGTAGTTTGAACTGTTTGCATATCAGAGCTGAATACGCTTGATAATAGCACAAATGCATAATTAAAGAGCAGAAAAAATGACTCACTGGATAAGGAAATGCGCTTTTCTTATCTCCTCTGCAGAGAAACGAAAGCCCCAGGAGCCCAGGACTCCAACTAACTAAGTGCTTTTATTAAACAAATAAAGCAGCAAAGATATCAAACGAGCTATTTAAAAATTATGTCTTAATCCTGGAGTCGGAGGGCTCGATTTCCAGTGCTGTTTGCTCCAGCTGTGCACCGGGAGGGCTGGCTTCAGCTGAGGTCTGCTGCTGGGATCCCTGCGGAGAGCCCAGCGAGGGACAGGGCAGCGCTGGTGATCCCAGGAGTGGGGAGGGTGGGATGGCAGTGTCCCCTGCGTGCTCATGCACACATGAGCAACCTGACTCGTGTGAGCGGGTTCCTCTGGTGTCAGGGGTGGGTGAAGTGACTCACGCACGCGTTTGCAGAACCGCCTGTAGCAGAAAATATCCACCGAAAGTTCACCTTGTGCTCGTGTGTACCGGAAACCTGAAGGCTTGTTGATCAGAGAAGCCACGAAGTGTTTACCAAGCAGACACAGTTACCTTGGGACAAACCTCTGAAAGGAAGCACCCAATGCCCTGGGAAAGCCTCAGCACAACCTGACGTCTGCCCTGCATCCAGATGGTGCCACTGGAGGGCTTTGGTTGGAGCCAACCCCTGAAGCACATTCAGCACCCCAACCCTGTGTCACTCCCTGGCCCCTCTGCACCAGCTGGTGGGAAAAATTCCATCCTGAAAGGTCCCACTATGGCTGTCTGGAGCCAGTTTCTTAGAGCTCCACCACAAACCGCCTCCTTGGATCCACCAGGATGCCTCAGAATGGCCCAAACCCCTGTTTTCTATGCCTTCTCAAATCTGCCTGTGCTCAGGAACAAAATTTGGGAAGATTTTAGGAATCAGGTCAGAAAATGAAGGCTTCAAGAGATGCACCAACACCCTAAACCCAGTCCCCTCCATAGGTGCTCTGCTTCATACCGAGGACTTTTGTGGCACTGCTCAACAAGTTGCATGGGAAGTTTGGTGTGGGGCAGTGCCCTGGCAGCACCAGCTCTACCAAACATTATTTGTCTCCTCCCCTTCTTGTTTAAAAGCCACTGGAGCTGTGAGATTAAAGAAAAGGCTAACCACGAGGTTAAGGAAAAATGAGCAGGTGTCCTTGGCTTCATCTGCAAGGGGACTTGGACCCCTCAAGAGGTGATGCTGAGCATTCAAATTTGGCTTCTAGAGTAGACTGCCCTTTGAAGACCTCTCCAGGATTGCAGAGGGAGGATGGTGGGTCAACACTTCCTGGGCTCAAGCTCCCTCTGCCTATTCCGCCTCCCTGTCCCAGAGAGCCTTAGAGAGACACAGCAGCACTGAGGCCATGGGGGACCTCCTTCTTCCCCAGTCCTGCCTGGGGGAGCTGAGCCCTTGACCTCCCCTGTCAGGAGCAGGCAGTGGAGGGGAGTGAGGGGTGTTTCCAGCTGGTGTGCTGGCTGCTCTCGCTGCTCTGTAGAGTGCAGTGGGACTCTTAATGATGTTTTGCTCCCCAGATGCTGCCCGGTCTCTCACAAGCACCTCCACGTCATGAGCTACACTCCACTAGCTG